TGTCAGTAAAAAGCAGTGCAAGGGAAAGAAGGAGGCAAGGGAAGGAGGAAAGTTGCACCATCATGTGTTGTGTGGAAAATCCGTGTACATTACCCATCTTCCACAGGCATCTACATGGGTCTCAAGGAGCGATGAGCACTCTTACTGTACATCATGTTAATACGGATTACTAAATGAAACCAGAGTTTGAGATAAACATGCAACAACATTGCCACATTATTCACTTGATTTATGAAGCCTTTCATTGTACATCAGTCACTTGATCTACATGAACAACTTGTTTGCTTGAATTACAAAACCATAGAGAAATCACTCAAATACTGTTACTAAAAAGCTTGTTTGCTTGTGAGAGTAATTATTGTTATTGGTACTCCAGATTTCAAGTGACAGCGATGATTGAATGGGGCAAATATCAAAATCCCAACAAATGCCTGGACCAAACTTTAATCTCAAACAAATCCCATGCCGAATTTCCAAGCCATAAACATTCCCTGAAAGCTTGATACAAACATTGAAATCCCTACTCAAAAAAAAAAATACTTGCAAAACTTTTACTGCCCCCCAAAGATCCCGAAATCAAAAATTTCAACTCCCCCCGTGTGTTCCACTCTTTTGTGCGTTAACGTATTTCTTGCTATATCTTGCTTCCCCCTTTTTGATCCCACAGCAACTTTTCTGTTAATTCCAATGGAATGCAGCAAGTTGCTATCTTGCCTTGTAAAACCTGTACCTGTTACATGAGAAAAGAAATTTAGAATCTCCATGTGAGCATGTTCTTAATGAAAAATCGTATGGAGCACATTTGCAGAAGAAACAACATTAATTTTACACGTTTGCTGGCCCAATAACTGAAGCTGGTGTTTCTTTGACATACAAATGTCAATCAACTTCCCCCCACCCACCACTAAAATTATGCTGCGATGATGCCAATTTAATAATGCCCACCTTGGAATTTTAGTGACCCTTGACAAAGACAGGGCATTAAAACTGAAACTGTCTTCCTTAAACACTTCCTTTTTCACCCTTCCCCTATACATACAGTTCTATCACATGTGATCTCCTCCTGGATTCAACAGTTGCAGTAGTACTTTGTTCGTGAACTTACAATTATTATTATTATTATTATATTTCAACAATACATTTAAGAGAGTGTCTCTGAAAGAGTGGTCCGGTCAATTTTGCTGGAGACACAGATTTAGCTCAATTCTTTTGTGTTGTAAGACATTCATGTACCTACACTAAAACCACAATCCGTTTGATCGGATCTCTTTATTTTTCAGAGTTTTACGGAAATTAAATTTCACTCGAGCGAAGGCCTGTCGTGACACTTTTTAAGACTTTAATTTGAGACAACTTTGGAGGTCAATTTACAAAAAACTATGGGACTCAACAAAAAACAAATACCACAGCCATGTATATTAACGCTATCTTATCCATCGAGGCAACTTTCGTTAACATCACGTTTCAATCAAGCAAACAGGAGGACTTGAATGACACCTTATTGGTTCGCTTAAGTCACACGCGAAAACCGATCAAATTCAAGCTAAATTTTTGAAAAAGTGAGGCGTTCTTAACTGATCCAACTAACATAGCTAGAAAGTAGGTGTCATAGAAAAGGTAACTACAGAAAAAAACTTTGCGGCCCGACCTTTACTAAAACTTTACAACTCCGAGACCTTACCTAATTTTCGGCAATCTCCGAGTTTGGCTGCCATTTTGAGGGACTTGTCAACATGAAGGGTAACAGATATAAATCGAGCAGGTAGATCTAAAACCGTCAGAAATACATACCAAAGCACTCAAATGAACTTTACTTTCAATTCAAGCGGCAAAATTTGAAATAATATTGTTCGTTAAACTTACCATTCCTACCACCCCATGCGACCATTTCTTCCAGCAATTCAAACACTATGAGCAACTAGTGTTCGAATTCCTCTTGTCGATTCCACCGTAAGAAATAACCTGTGCCACCCAACCTTCGACTCGAATGTGAAGTATGAATCAAATAACATAACTGCTTCATCTTCGAGGCAATATCACACGGGCATTTTGATTTCTGATCGACAAGAACAGTGATCAGGAAGCGATGTTTACCTCATAAACGTGACCACTGACCAGCTGGTGAGTGAAAAACAGCACTGCTCAGTGGTGAGGAGCGGGGTGTAGAACAATTTGCCAACTGATGTAAGACAAGGAAAATCTTTGACTGGCTTTCGGAAACTGTTAACTTTTAGCTCGAACACGGCATTCAAGGAAAACAGGCTTTAATTTTAAAATTAATTTTATTTATTTATTTTATTTATTTCAACATTCATCTTTTTAAATGCTATTACTGTTAGTTCTATAGTCTGTTATCATTTTTAGGATATTGTATATTGTACATTTAGCCTGATTGTTTTGACCGTGTATAAATAAAAGTGATGATGATGATGATGACAAGGATGGTAATGCTCGAAAGCCTTGAAAATCCATTTATAATACCACTGCTGATAAACTGTAG